TCTGTTTCAGCCCATTACTATACTACCCAGGAAGTTTTCCAATTGGGCCGACGATGGCCCGAAGAAGAAAAGTATTCAGTCCGTCCTCCTCCCATGCTGCAAAGTGCAAAGCAAAAAGGTTGTTCATGTTCAACGGATAACAAAACGCAGTCTAACCAGAGTCGAGCTTTGTGGAAGAAGCAGCAGCAAAAATGGCGGCCGCCTCGGGTCTGCAACCAGGGCTTCTCTCGACCTTCGTCGGCGACCGTCTTCTCCATTCCCGACTCCCCATCCCTCATCTCTTCGGCTACAAAACAGGTGCTTCTTCTCCTTGTCCCTGTTTCACTTCCCGCGTGAACTCTAGTCAACGAAAGAGCTCACGAACTCATAATTGCTGCTAGCTTGGAGCTATGTTCTCACAGAAATGGTTTCTACACTTACCGTTTGGGAATTTCCTATAGCTGGTCATGTTTGCCCTTGAAATTTTTCTTTCTTTCAATTGTCTGAGACTAAGTCAAATCATTTCTGTGGGGAGCTTCGGCTCTACAATTTCATATGGTGATTGATTACTTCCATGATTTTGTGTGCAATTTCTCGAGCAGGAGGTGGGCATCATGTGTCTATGCGATTCTCCAGGGCGTTTTCTGGATTAACCAACCTTCTATTCAATAGAAGGTACGCCTTAGATGAGTTGATAATCCCTATTTGCAGTCCTTGTTGGCATTCAATGCAGTGGTTGTCGCCATGATTTTCTGGTACGAAAAGATTTATTAGTGTCCTGTTGACGAGCTGATTGTCGGATACTGGGCGGATAAAAAGGGTATTGATTACTAGATCACAAGGAATTCAATTGGAATGGCGAGACAATGGATATGCACGCATCATCATAGCTTCAAGCAATAGAATACTTGTGGGTTTCTTTTCATTGAACGATAGTTGTTCTTCTTGGATAAGAATGAAACCACGAGTATTCTCATGAGACGAGAAAGGATCACACTTGTCTCTATTAATTTGCTTGAACCTCTTATGATGTACGTATATGCCTTGTCGTCGTACAAGGTGGTTCCTACTAAACTCGTCGAATAATCAGCATCGATGTTTATCAGTCCTGTACCCAACGATAAGCACAACATGATCCTTGTGGTTGTGTATCCCTGGATCCAGACTGTTAATAGACCTTTCGCCAACATTTTGTCTCTTTTTTTTGCGGTAAAATATGTGCATTTTGGAATGATCAGAATTGTAGAAGAAGTACCAAACACCAAGAGGAAACCTCTACGCCCGGGGAAACTCTCTCCCCGGCGACCTGTCCCTGATAGTATTTTGAAGCCTCCTTATGTCGACACTCGGCAGTCTCCTGGAATCTCGAGTGGAGCTGAAGTGCATGATGAAATGGGGATAGAATGCATGCGGGCTTCTGGAAGACTTGCAGCACAAGTGCTGCAGTATGCTGGGACTCTAGTAAAGGTAACATGATCACTTTTTTGGGTTTTCTGAAACGGTTGAGGCAGATCAACAGAGGTAATGTATGTGCCTTCCGTAGTTTGAGATGCAGAACTTCATCTTAGTGTGACGAGCATTGATTCTTTTGGCAGCCAGGTGTAAAGACTGACGAAATTGATGAAGCAGTGCACCAGATGATAATTGAAAATGGTGCATATCCCTCGCCTCTAGGATATGGTGGATTTCCAAAGAGTGTATGCACATCGGTTAATGAGTGCATCTGCCATGGGATACCAGACTCCCGTGAGCTAGAGGTGCTTCTTGTTTCGATGTCTTTAACACTCCTGAACTCTTATGATGTCTCGCTTGAAATATTACCCTACTTAAGCTTATTTGGTTCTTGCACTTTTGCAGGATGGTGATATAATCAACATTGATGTTACAGTTTATTTAAATGTACGAACTTCTTTTGCACGAACATTTTCCTTTGTACTCATTTCCAGAAGGATTGGAAATTTGCGATTGAGCTCCCTTCATTATATGGTGGCAATCCCTTCCACAAGTTTTCCTCTCATGATCCATTTTTTGGGTGTAACTTGATATTATATGCAGGGTTATCATGGTGATACATCAGCAACTTTCTTTTGTGGAGATGTTAGCGATAGTGCCAGAAAGCTTGTTCAGGTAACCATTTGTAAGTACGAACTCTGTAGATTAGCTACAATGTATCTGCAAACAAGTTGGAAGTTTTGCATCTTTGTGGTCTAGAATACAAAGGATAAGTGACTTATGAATGTAGGATTTTGTCTTTTTGTATCTGTTCTGACTATGATTCTATGCTTTAGCTTCACTCTATGTGGCCCTCTGCTTACTATCCTTCAGGTAACCAAAGAATGTCTGGATAAAGCAATCTCGATTTGTGCACCGGGAGTGGAGTTGAAGAAAATTGGCAAGACTATACAGTAAGAATGCTCACTTTATTACTTTCGTTGCTCTTGGCTCTCTGATTAGTTCTATTTGAGCAGAAATGTGGGGAAAAGAGCATTGTTTTAGCAACTAGAGATAATATGGTTCAGCCATTTTTTAATGCACCTGTTTTCATGCGGACATCAATACTTTCTCTTGAATATTTGTTTTGTTGCTTAGTCCAGTTCTTGTGAACAGTACTTGCATGTATTGAAACTTAATGATGAAATCACTGACCATTTCCTGATTCTTCAGTTCATTACTGATATGGCCCGATGCATCACTTGGAATTGAGGTTTTTGCCTTAATTGTGTACTAAATCATATTTTATATCTTCTTTCCAAGTGATCATGCAGATAAACATCGGTATGGTGTTGTTAGGACCTTTGTTGGCCACGGCGTTGGACGTGTTTTCCATGCTGATCCAGTTGTTCTTCATTGCAGTAAGGGCCCTCTGCCATTCAATTTGCTTGTTACTAGTTTACCTCCCCGTCTTATTCCAAGTCTCGATATATATTTGTATAGTTGATTGATGGCTTCCTTTATTTCACTTCATTTCCTTCATCTAGATGCTATACTAACAACCAGACTGATTTTTCCAGGGAATAACGAGGGTGGACGCATGAAGTTGAATCAAACCTTTACAATTGGTACTATTGTCTAAATCCTAAATCCGGCTTCCTTGCCAAGTTCTTATGTGCTCCTTCTCTGTCTTTTTATTGTGAAAATATGTGCTCCCTTCTCTACAGACAAACAACAATTTCAATTTTTCATGAACTCCTTAGATTGCAATTCTGCCATCGAATCTCATGTACTTCATTACTTTGTCTTGTATATGTACCCAGAGCCAATGTTGACAATGGGCAGCATTAATCCGGTGATGTGGGACGATGACTGGACAGTGGTGACCGAAGATGGGAGCCTGTCAGCTCAGTTTGAACACACCATTCTCATTACTGAAGGTGGAGCTGAGATACTGACACAATGTTAAAGGCCAAACTAGCAGAATAATGTGTTGGGCCAAACTGCTTTCCAGAGCATGCATTGTGATTCTTTGTAGGTTGGACTGATTGGAAAGAATTGTACTCTGTGAAGAAGAATTCACATTTGATCGATTGGAATGAATTGTGCTGTCTTTGTCATTGCACTTTCTTCAGATGTCAATAACGATTGAAGTCTATTACAATTTAATATTGAATTTAAGCTAACAAAAAGTTGAGATGGCCGAGTTGGTCTAAGGCGCCAGATTAAGGTTCTGGTCCGAAAGGGCGTGGGTTCAAATCCCACTCTCAACAAATTTTTTTTTTTTTTTTGGCCAATAAGTCGAGGAATGATATGTACATAGTTTATCCAGTACACAACCTAACGAGTTTGGGCCACATATGAGCTGAAAGACACTTGGGCTTGATGAGTATGGTGGACTTTAAGCCACTGAGTCCTTGTAAATGTCCAACTTGGCAACTTTCTAGGTTGATACAAGAACTAGCTAGGGTTCCTATCATAGTATATAAATTTCAAAACTCCCCTTAGTTCTACACGTTGAATCTCATTGGGAGTTTCGTTGGTCACCTTGATGGTGGTAGAGAAGATCACTATTCACGAGATTGGATTGTATGATCTTCTTCGCTAGTCAGATGGTTGATTAAGGTCCGCACATTATTGATTTTGAGTCATCCCTCGGTCCATGACTGTTTGCTAAAAATAAGAATCAAGGTTTTTTTTTTGGGGTTCGTTCTAATTATGAGTAGTACCTCCTCCTTTTCTATTTCCATTGTTGTCGTTTGGTTTCTTGGGATGGGTAATGCTCTTTTGCTCCCTAGTCATAGATTTATGATGTCTCAATGTCAGTCATTCCTTGTGAGATCTTACTAAATGAATTTACTCTCACACCGGAGGGGGCTCTTGCCTCTTGGTGGTGTGAAGGAAGAGAGGTCATGGTCGATTTAGTTGGGTTAGCCTCACACACATGGTGGTAGAGGGAACAATCAAGGGCAACATCGTGCAACTCTAGTGGTGGATGATGATCCATGGATGCATCAAATATGTGATGATGATAACAAGTGTTCCAGCAAATGGGGGATCCATAAGAGATTGGGGTTTGCCTTCCTATCGTCCTCATTTCAGTTCAAGGATGTCTCCGCCTCCATTGCGATTTGCGAAACACATAGTTAGGCTTTTGCTTCAACTGCTTCAGAGAGACTGGCAACACAAGTCCGAAGTGAAAAAGGAAAGGTAAAGTTATAGCCACATAAGGTGTGTAAGAAAAATCATGAGTGGCTATAACTTGTGTATCAACTAAAATTTTATCAAAGTCCTCTTGTCCATGAACTATAATCTCCATCCCTTAAAGGCTTGTAGTAGGCCTAACATACTTAAAAATCATGATTATAAATCTAGTGAATGCTATAGTAATTTATGGGGAGAAATTAACTTGCGCGTGCAAAAATTGAAGCTTATTCGAGCTTATAACTTAGTCAAATGCAGTATGCTAAGACTTTAACTCATCCTGCTCTAAAATCCAGGGTCGATTTCACTTCAAAATTTATCATATCAATTAGGTTGGTTTTTCTATCTTCTTTCGAATATGAATGACACAATTGTACACTACATTTTTTTGGTTCATGTGGATGGAACTTGATAAAAGAAAATACAATGTGGAGATTTTCTACATTTTCGGCACTCAATTGCAACTTCTTCTAGAATTCAGGGGTAGTTGGAGTAATTATTCATTCAGATTTCAGCCTTAATAATTTTCTTCAATCCGCTTTCCCTATTCCGGACCTTACGTCGCCGCCTTTCCTGCTTTCTGAACCTTGCGATGCCACAAACCGGAAAGGAAAACCGTAGAGATAGAGAAGCGTAGGAGAGCGCTCGCACGGTGAAAGAAAAATTAACAGAGAAACCAGAGTACAATTCTTTCCTTCTCCTTCCGCCGAGAGCTTTTTTCTCTCTAGAAAATGGACGACGCTGCGCCGGTGAATTGGGAAGCTCTGGACGCCCTCGTCATCGATTTCGCCACATCCGAGAATTTGATTGAGCAGCAGCCGCAGGAGTCTCTGGCGGATTCCCCTGCTTCGCCGTTATCTCCTCTATCTCCGTCGTCTTCGTCTGTCTCGTCTTCTTCCTCATCGTCTTACCATTCCAGGCTGATCATTCGCCAGATCAGGCGGTGCCTAGCGGCGGGGGACATTGACGCCGGAATCGAGCTTCTCCGAGCTCACGCTCCTTCCGTTCTCGACGATCACAGGGTTCTATTTCGCTTGCAGAAGCAGGTACGAAATAAAAAATGTAGCTGCAGTTACAGAACTGAGAGATTGGAATTGACATTGATGTGTGCCTCTCGTCTTGTTACCCTGATTTTGGTTCGCTTTCTCTTTTTTGCCGTTTGGATTTGGATGCCAAGGTAAGTGACGAGTTCTCTCGGTTTCCTTTTTTGGGTTTTCAGAAATTCATCGAGTTGTTGAGGAAAGGGACGGAAGAGGGGAGAGATGCTGCGATTGCTTGCATAAGGACGGCTCTTGCTCCCTGTGCGCTTGATGCTTATCCGGTGCTTACTTTGCCCCTTTCTTTTCTTATCCATGCTTTAAATAATTTCGTGAACTGAGAAATGGGTATTAAATAGAACACTTGTGTTTATGTTTTCTTTTTATTTAAGGGTGATCCATTGTGCTTGGTGTTAGTTTCATACGATTGAAAGAGGAAAGCAATTACCTTTCCACTGGGATTGAGCTTTTGCTTTTAGGATTTTGGTCTGGGAACCTGGTGGCACTGAATGGAACGAGTATTGGAGTTATGCAGTCTAACTTTAGTTGCCAAAGATGGCATTTTGTTTATGTATGTTTCCAGTTGAAGAAATGGTGGGTTGTAGAGGAAGATGTCGGTAGTTTTGCCATTTGATACGTGAAGCTTTTCTTTTTGGCTGCTTATGTCACTTCATGTGTTGGTTTCTTGCTAAGAATTGTATTGTAACCTGTAGTGGATGCTCCCTTCCTTTCACCTTTGTCAGGTATTGGGTTTGGTTTTGCTATGTCTGATAGCTCAGGAGTTTAAACCTTCTGGGAGTGACCATCTCTCATTAGGCCAGTGATTCTCTTATTTTTAGCTAATTGTAGATAGAAGTGCATTGTGATAGTAGCGAGGCCGGATACTTCTGCTCATGTTTTGATCACTGTGTTATACTACTGCATATCAACTTGCACCAAATCCTCAATTTATTATAGTGCTGATTTGACAATTTTAATTTGAAGTATACCTAATTGCTGTTAAGTTGCTTTTCGTATTGTTCTGCTGGACAGTTGCTTTTGCTTATCAATCTCTGCTGTTCACCTCATGGGGTCTGATGATTTAATATTTGTTTGTTTAAGGAAGCATACGAGGAATTCAAGCATGTTCTCCTTGCCTTTATTTATGACATACATGATCAGAGTTCGCCTGTGGCAAATGAGGTGGGCACTTTGCTATACCTTTCGACGAGTGACATTCTTTCTTGCATTAAGTTTTGTTTGGTGTTTGCTTCAACTATTATTTTTTCTATATCTGAAGGAAATCATGTCCAGCCCCCTATTATGGGTCATGCAATGAATTTGTGTACTAATGTTCATTTTGTTAATGGCTTTTAAAATACTAAGTTTTCTTGCCTTCCATTAGCATCGCTTTTTTTTTTTGCTTCACGATCATGGGAAGGTTAGGATATTGTATCGACTTCTACTTTGTATGAGTGATATTTACCTTTTGTGTCTTCTATAAATCCAGCAATTATGCTGTTTCTTCATCGTAGATATATTTATAGAATGTGTTAATTTATCCTGTTATCTTTTTGACTGAAGAGGTTTTTTCTGTTTTGGTTGAAATCTAAGATGAGCATCATGATTCAGATATGAATGCCAGTTCTTTATACCTGTTAAGTTTATATGTGATTCTCCGTGATTGTATTGAGTTTATCTCGCTGGGGAAGGTGAGGTAAAGAAAGGAAAAAAAGAATCCCTTGTAGCTACCATTAAAAGGAAACGTTGTTAGTGTTTAATGTTTACCTTTTTGAGCAACCTTGGTTCACGAGCCTTCAATTTTGCTCAAGCAAACAAAAGAAACAGAGTCACGTAGATATCGTTGAGCATAGTATTCCGAACATTGGCAAATCTGTATGAGCTTTCTGCAGAGCTTGCATCTATGCTTATATGATAACCAAGCTGTTTTTCCTTCAGTGGTCTGAAAAGAAGAGGTCCGAAATTGCTGGGTTGATGACTTCTGTCTTGAGAGCTCATTTGCAGGCATATGATCCAGTCTTTGCAATGACATTGCGATATTTGATAAGGTTGGTATTTACAAGAGTCGTTGAGACTCCTTTAGTGTTTGCTTGCTGAGAGTGTCGGGAGGCATCATGAAAACTCCTGCTCATAACACTTTCTTGTGCAGCATACACAAAACCTTTTGCTTTCGTCAAGGAACCACATCTCCGATTTCAGACCTTACTGAGAGGTTGCTCATGGAGGAGCGTGACCCTCCAGCTGTGCCACAGGAGAGTTTTTATGAGGCACCTCCATTTGATGAGGTGATTACTGTAAGACTTTGTTGGTTTTCCTTGGAATTGGTTTGGAAATGGCATATGGAAGAGTGATATAGTGTCCTAGACACCAACTAGTAAAATCAGAATTATCCCCAGAAACATCAGGAACTCAGGGTGTGATGGTGGCATGTAATCCCTTAAGAAGTCAGGGTGTTGATCCGTGTCCATGGGCATGGATCTTGCCCTATGGCCAGCCATTTACCGCTTTATGCCACTTCCAGTGGCAAAGCAATTTATTCACTACAGAAATCCTTCGGCAGTGGACACCCTGGTTAAGACGAAAAAGAAATTTATACGGACTATTGAGTAGTCACTAGGTAAAAATCAATAGTCACTCACTAGGTAGTAATCAATAGTCACTTCTAGGATTATTGTTTTTGTAGAGAATGTGTTATTCTTAAGCAAACTGCTTTACCTAGGTGGACATTCAAGCTCTTGCACATGCTGTTGAGCTTACAAGGCAGGGAGCTGTTGATAGCTTGAGATATGCTAAAGGAGACTTGTTTCAGGCGTTCCAGGTACACTGATTTTGTTGCACACAGTAAAGTTGCATATGTATTGCCTTAAATGGTTCATTTGGGGTACTGAGGATTCAGATTGTCCTGTAACTTTAGCAATTGTAAATATGAGTATCGAAATGTCTACTATGTTCATAATTTGATCGTGCTTGACACTGTGGAGTCAGCAGACCCTGTAAGCGAGGGGAGATATGGACTTTTGGCTGCTTGTTGCCTGGTTGTCTGTATTCAAATTTTAAGAAAGCTTTAGCTTTAGAATTTAAGCAAGTCTGATATTATTTTGTACACACCCTTTTTATCCCTATTCTGACCCTTCTAGTCTCTTTTTTTTTTTTGGCTCCCAAGGATACATCCCTCTGAAACTTAGCTTCTTATAGTTATAAAAAAAAAACTTAGCTTCTGTCCCACTCAGAGCAATGAGGAACTTGAAATTTTCTTAGTTTCGGAATATTTAGTTCCAATGTGATTAAGATCTCGATATAAGTGTTTAGATCGTGTAGTAATGAGGTTCTTTAGGTTGGCTGGCACAAGCTTGTTTATTTAAGCGGTTAAATTGCATACATTTGCTGGTACTATGATTGCTTTTAACATGATTATTCAACTGTGTTCGTTAAAATTGCTGTCATTGTACATTTCTTTTTTGCAGAATGAATTATGCCGAACGAAGTTGGACGTGCCCGTGCTAGATGAACTTGTTCGAGAGTATTGTGTCTATAGAGGCATCGTTCGCTCGGGCTTTGTGGCATCTGCTGGTGACTCCCTAACTTATGCTTGCACTATGCTATGTTTTATCTCATTTTAAAGGTCGCTTTTTTTTTTATCTTGATCTAGTACAGAAGTAGTACTCGTGTCTCACATTACATCCAACTCCTTTCATCTTAGAATGCAAAGTAAATCAATCCGAACCTGGTCGCTTGCCATCTCAAAACTATTCTCTTGAAGTGGACCAGGCTACCAGCATACCTTCAGATGGTGAAAATTCTGTAATCACAATGCACCTGGATGTTTCTTCAGAGAATGATGTTGTTGTCAATAGCAGGCCAGAAACTGATATTGAGATGAGATATGCTTCTGAATCAACTGGAAATTGTGAAGATTGCAGCACAAGTGAAATGCAGCAACCTGACATATCAAAACTTCTTCAAAGAAATAGAAACTATACAAGCGGAGAGAGGAGCAAACGCAAGCGCTGGAGGGGTCGGCAGGATGAGCAGGAATATCTCTCTGGTGTAGCTTACAGTGCATGCAGCAAGCAAGACCTTGATGCAGTCGTAGCCAGGGCAGACATCGGTGGTGAACACCAGGTATGCTGGTAGGTGTTCTTGTAGTTGGTTCTCGACAATGCAGCTATATTGAGAGATAGTTATGCAGGGAATAGAAAAGCAGTCCACAGAAGACCTAAATAACACGGATGATAGGTATGAGATTGTGTTGGGAATCAAGGATCTAGCAGCTAGAGGCATGGCTACAGAGGTTGTGGAACAAGTTAATGCTTTGGATCCAAACTTCTTCTCCCAGAATCATGCCTTGCTCTTCCAATTAAAACAGGTTAGAAACTGTTCTTTTTTGTACGCCTCGGAACTCAAATTACGAGCCAGTTTAGTTGCCGGGTTATTGGTTACAAGGTATGGTTTATGTATTTTCACTGTTGCAATTTCATTTCAGGTTGAATTCCTCAAGCTGGTCAGTGCTGGTGATCAGTCAGGTGCTTTGAAGGTGGCCTGCTCGCACATGGGTCCCTTAGCAGCAAATGATCCTTCTCTTCTGAAGCCTTTGAAGGAGACTCTGGTTGTGTTACTCCGTCCACATGAAGAGATGCTTGGAAAAGGCTTACCTTTAAATGCTCTAGCAAATTCACTCCAGGTATACATTTATTCTTTGAGTAACTGGTTCAATGTTCTTCTACAATAAGTGAATCATTGAAGTTTCATAATCAATTTTGGTGGTTCTGATTAGGTCGCAATTGGTCAAAGGCTTGGCATTGAAGAACCACAACTCATGAGGTTAATGAGAGCAGCCATGCACACACACAATGAGTGGTTTAAGCTGCAAATGTGTAAAGATCGCTTTGAGGGTCTTATGAGGATAGACTCTCTGAAAGAACTCGAGACACCTTTGCTCTCTGCTTGCTCCATGTTGAGCTCGAATGCAGATAGCTCTACTCAGGGTTCCTCCCAAGTTACGACATCTTCAAGTGCGAGGTTGCCTGAAGATGGTACAAGTCCGGCTCAAGTCTCATCGGGAGAAGTCTGTGATGAAAGCGCAATACTCAAAGTGATGGTAGGTTTGGAAACTCATTACAGACTTCACTTGTAAATTGGGAATACTTTGTAGCTGATTTCATTTTCCGAAACTAATAACAATAATAATACTAATGCAGGAGTTTCTCGCCTTGCCAAGGGCTGACGCCATCCATCTTCTTGCACAGTACAATGGAAATGCGGAGACCGTCATCCAGCAAATATTTGCTTAGCTTAGAGTAGTAGGTTCAAGCTTTCATGTTTTATTCTTTCATTTATTTGCAGAGGGCATTGCTTGCTGCCCATCCCTTGTTTGTGACACTTATCATAGCATTATATAGATGTACTCCTTTATCACTCACCATTTGATGTCATCTGCTGGATACCGCCATGGCCTGCTTTTTTATTGGTCCCATGTTCTTTTCATTTTGATTCTTCTTTCTCGGGGGCAAGTCTTTAGTAAAACAGTATATGTCCATGCCATACCCTATGAAAACTAATCTATTATTCTTGTCTCAAATCAGTTATTGAGTACAAAGAATGACAGCTTTAGCGCAGGGGAAACTGAAGGCTTGAGTATATGTCTTGCTGAAAAGCATGCTCAGGCTGCATTCCTTGGCAGCAACCGCAGCCGGTACTTCCTCTCTTCTGAAAGTAGCTTTGCAACCCTGCATTTCATATTGATTTGCTTTCCAACATCAGTTCATATTCATGGGAGTTTTAACAGTACTAGAATGCTTGTGAAAGAAGGAAAACATGGGAGTTTGCTCTGAACCTTTGAAGTGCTTCTTCATTGGTGCCACCGTTCTCAACAGGTTCGTAGCGTCCAGTGTCTAGATTCTTCCGAGTTACAGGGCCCTTCAACAGATTCTCTCCCACTTTCACTAGATTATTCAGATTCTCCTCTGTAGCCAAGTCTGCGGACACAGTATCTCCTTGCAGCTTGTCATCCTGCAAAAGTATTTGTAACAGAATTTGGGTTTGAAGATGCCATATATGCTCGTAGGGTATGGAATGATCCTTTGCAATTTTGACAGGCCACTGTCCTGATCAGATACTATTCTGGGCTGAACCGGGACCTTGCTCCTCCCTACTATGGATGAACTAACTACACAGAGGTTAAAAAGAGGTAAGAAGTAATTCGGTGATTCTCACATCTATTCTCAGATAGTTGTCCTCTGATTCCAGAGCTTTGAAAACAACACAGTTGTGGTAATCAACCATATCTGAGATTGCATCAGAGTAGCAACTGATCAATGGAGAAGATCCCTTGTGGTACAACCAGCTTATGACGCCCCATTTTGAAGCGGTTTTGGCATTGTATTTCTCTTCTGTCTTGTTGGAGCCTGTCCCTAGTGAGATCACCAGAAACCGGCCGTACTCCATTGGCTTCATCGAGCATCCACCTGGGTTCTTCATGATCTGCTTGGTCACTTCTGTTATGGCAACCAAAGTCTGCAGCAAAAGCATGAAACGGCAGAGAAGTGTGATTTAGAGTTGGGATGTGAAATAGTAGTAAGCTTTGAGACTTTGGCAGTCAGGAAGCGTTACAGGGTTGTTGGCAGCGATGCCACCATCGATAAGATTGAATTCTCTGACGTTGCCTTGTGAGTCTTGGTTCTTGAAGTAATGAACTGGGAAGAAAGTTGGGGGCGCAGCTGTGGATATGCATATGTCCGAGAGCTTAGCATCTAAAGTTGGCAGTGTTTCCACCTGCAATGATGAACAAGTAAGACTAGATATAAAATGAGCTCTCAAAAACATTGGCTAAAATCTCCATGTCAAATGCACTTGCACATGGGTTAGTCTATCCTAAAAGACTGGGAAACACGTTCAACAGGTAGTTGTGGCCAATTTTACTGTTGAACAGGAGCACTCTGGACTGTCGAAGCGACGGGAGTTACATTAGTGTAGGGGCAAGCCCACTATTAAGAGAATCACCATTTTTCATAGGGTTAAAGCTAGTATCCTCTTTTATTTCCGGGCTTGACGAGCTAGAAGAGGAAGCATTATTGAACAAATTGGCGAAAAAACTAAGCTAAGCTCAGATAGTTGCATAAAACAAAGTCGTCAAAAGAGAATCAAATTGTTTATGATATGCTATTGGAGCTGGTTTGACCAAGTGGTCATGTGTTCAAATCTCTAATGTCCTTCAATATTAATTGTTGATTACAAACTTCAAATTCATGCATTGATTTTTGTTGTGAGGGGGATGGGTAACATAAATTTAAGATTCACAATTAACTTTTTTCTCAACAAATCGAGTTATTGAGATAAAACGATTTATAACAATATCTATAAATTTATATAAAATAATATCCATATTATTAGGGTTGGTTATAAAACAACCTCGTTTTTTTTACATGTGGGGAACAAATTGAAATCAAAACAAAACCCGCATCCGAATCAACCTATCACTTCTGAAATCAAATAGAAGTCTGCACCCAATCCGAAACCCATTAACACTAAATTTCAAAAAGTTTAACCGAATTAAATTCATTAAATATAATCGTCATGGTTTCAAATTTAATTGTCATCTCTACTTAAGATACCTTCACATCCTAAGGACATTTGACAATTTGTTTTTACAATTTAGCACATTGACATTCGTGTTCTTACATAAGATAAAGAGAAGAAAACATCGAAAGACAAAAGGAGAAAAGGGACAAACTAAACTAAACTAAACTAAACTAACCTGATAGGAAGAAAAGATAACTGGCTGGAGCTTCTTGATGTCGAAAGTTGGGATGACCAAATTGGTCAAGCTGTCATGGAGCTTACTGCTCCCCAACATCTTTCTTATCGCCTTCCTCAAGTACTTGCCATCATACTGCGGCCCAGTAAGAACTTTCCACAGCTTCACCACCCATGCAAATACACTCCTACCACCACCATTAAAACACAAAAAAACCAGACAAATTAACAGATAATCAAGCTTTCAATACATCCATCACACAAGACCGATCATGAATCGACTTACCTGTTCTGCGGGAAGATCTTGGGGCTGTTCTCCAGGTAGAATTGCACAATTTCCTTTGCTGCAAAAAGTGGTCGCTTGTTCTCATTTGGTGCAGCCAGCATTGTAGCCACCAGGCCTCCAGTGCTCGTTCCTGAGATCACATCGAAGTAGTCTGCAATCCTGGCTCCCTCCCCATCAAGCTCCTGTTCATGAAACATACACAGAACTAAATGAATATCAGCGGTGATGATCATATGTCAAGAACCAGTTAATCCGCAATCCTAGCTTTGTCCCAATCACGTTTCAGTTCACGAAACATTCAGAGAACCGAGTGAAATCAATGATCATGTCGGGAATCGGTTGGTTCAGATAACTCGAGTTGTTGAGAGATGTTCAATAATAAATTTTATACGACATACTACCAAGCTCCTTAAACGAAAATCGCTCATAATGGTTTGAAATGTGCAAAGGTCCGAATACCATGTTTTTTTTTTTTATGACCAGGAACACCCTCCACGGTCACCACCTTTGGCAAATGCAGGGTGCCTTTGGAAAACACCATGGCAGTAGTGAGGATCGAACCTGGGACCTCTCGGTCACCAGTCCCGCCTCCGGGAATACCATGTTTTTAGCAATGGAAGTAGTGATGATTCGAACACAAGACTTGTCGATCACAAAAAAAACTCTGATATACCATGTAAAGAACCAATTGACCCGAATAACCCGAAATTTTGGGACAGTTCCAGTCCTGAATCTTATACATCATCAATCAGAATCTCTGCAGCTTCAAACTGAAAAATATTGAAAACCCATGAAATGACCTGAAGTTTGGACTCGAGGTAAGCAAGCATTACACCTGGGATGATCCCTTTGATCCCTCCTCCATCTATGCTCAGGATGGTTGCCAGTTTCCCATAGCTGGTGGCTGCTGCAGATTCTGCTCCAGAGGAAGATGCTGTTCCTTTCTCCATAGTGCAGAGATTGCCAGCCAATCCAGATGAAACCTTTCTTCAATTTTTGAATGTGTGCGGGTTTGCTTTGGATGGATTGAGTTGTTTTAGCTTATTAGTAGGACAAGTTTCCACGTCTAATTAAAAACAAGGAAAATGGATAATGTGTCAACCATGGCATCAAATGCTTCGTGCTTACTTGTAAAGCTGTATCATCTGGTTCTTGAATTTTTAAGTAATTATATCGTCATAGGAGCTAAAGCTGGATCGACACTTCAATAGGTTACTTGTGGTGATGAAACATTTTAATTTGTTTTGGAAGAAAGAAAAGGAAGATATGGACTTGGCTCTTGGTTGTTACATAAGGATATGATTTTTTGTTGTCGTGTTAGTTTCCCAACAATTGGGTTAGTTTTCCATTAAAACCTAGAACGCCATTGATATTCTGTGTAGGTTATTGGTGGAGCCAAATATTTCTCCATGCACAGATGTTTAAAAAGGCTTTCATGAAAAGCTGTTGAAAGATGTTCTTTATAGTTCATTAATTATTTTTAAGAAATTTGGCTCCAATTTAGTTTCTTTTGTAACAAGTAACCTATTGAATCTAGAAGGATCTGGGCTTGGGATGGTTGTTTGAGATTGAGATGATTCGGGGTTTTTTTCAAATGGATTTGATCTCACCGAATTAGAATGAGTTGGTCGGTGGAATTAGCAGAGACAGAAACTCTTTTCTTAGCTCGAAACCTAGCTAATTTACACTGTTTCAGTTCGATGATATCGGTAGAGACAAACTGTTAATCGATGATACATAAATTAAATCGAGAAGGAAGAATCGTCATTGAAAGTGGGCAAACTTAGCGAGGGGATAAGGAAAAAGGCTCAGTAGATGGGAAACATTTGCTGGAATTTGCGCGGAGGAATTGAGAACAATCAGCATACTGTAATGATTTGATATGCAATAACGAGACTTCAAGCAAGTTATTATATTGCCAAAGGTCACATAACCCAAGTGCCCAATTGGTGTGAATGCGGAGAAAAGTGACGATTTGGGAGGGGCAGCTCCCAGATTCGATCTTCCAAGCTATCAGATGGGTGTTCTCGAAGGCATAATGAAATTCTAGTGGTGGGCCTTCGCAAAGCGATGCAAGATCAAACGGGTTATAAAAAAAAAAGCTTATATGTAAAAAAAACATGCTGAAAATTTAAATTTAATATAAAAAAACCAACAAGATCCATATACTTTTCCATCTTTACCATATAGTCCTTATTATCGCTTTTATTTGATCCGGCTGATACCGGGTCCGACCTAGCTCGTCGATTCGGCCCAATGGCCCATACCGTGAATAGCTAACTGCAATGGATTGGGCCCAGTCGTGTTAGCCCACTTCCACCTTCGACTAGTTTCTTTCTCCCTAGAAGACAGCTGTTGTTCTTCGAAGCTGTTCTTCTCCAGTCCATTGCCCACGACTTGAGATTGGCCTCCAAAACCTTTAGCCCAGTGCCCGCCATCATTAGCTTCAAGCTCGCCTGCCTTGGCTTCACTGTGCTCGAAGGTTTTCGCCGGCGGCAACGTCGGCAATAGCCCCATTGCCAGTTCTTATCGTTGGAGGAGCTCGATCGTTGAGCCCCATAGTCAGTTACCGCCGCCCCTTGCGTCTCCGCCATTGCTCGCCGCCGTCGTTTCAGGTCGCCGATCTTCTCCTTTCCCTCTGCTTCTTCCCTCAATTGAAGACACTCTCCCTGCAGTCTCGCTCTACTTCGCCAGCCACCCTCGCTCTCCAAATTCGCCCTAGGGTTTGTATTCCGTTTTATTTGCTTTCCTCCTTATTTCTTAGTCTCTGTGAATTTTCTTCAGTTCGTCTGAAGCCTTAATCCTGCCCTGAAGCTTCCGGAAGTTGCATTGCAGTTCGCAAATTAAGCAGAGGGAAAAACCGAACAGAAAGAGATGTTCTTTCTGAGTCTGATAGAGCACAAACTGCGGTTGCCGCCTGAGGATCTATCCCTTCCTCTCCCCAAAGGCATTAAGAAAGTGCTTGATGGCATCTTCTTAGACAAGGTATGTCTGCTCCATTTGTCTCTCTATGTCCCATTAGCAAGCAGCTCTTAGAACTCTGAATGCACCAATAAATGGTTCTTCCTTTGTGATGTGGCTTGCAAGGTTATCGCGAACTTGGGACTCTGTGTGTCCATCTATGACATTAGAAATATATCTGGTGGCTTCATTCAGGCCGGAGAGGGTGCTCCAACCTACACTGTGAGTTAAAAGCATGCATCTTTTGTCAGTTGGGTTGCTTTTGCTGAAGTGGATCAATGGAGCTTGAGTAATGAATTGCTGTGATGTTTTATTTCTGTTAACGCTGGGGGTGAACGAACCATTGCATTTGTGTGGATGATGCTTCGCTGTGATTCTTGCAGGTAGAATTTAGAATGGTGGTGTTCCGGCCTTTTACAGGAGAGATTATTGTTGCCAAAATTATAGAATCCGATAACGATGGTCTTCGCTGTAAGTTCTGATTGCTGTGTGCTTTAACGACTCCTCCATTGCGTTTACTATGGCTTTGCTGCGATTCATCTGATACGCCTAACCCATTTGTCAAGAAGATTTGTCTGAAGAAAAGAACATGATTTGATGAATTTTATGGGGAAATCTGTCAATTCCATTGGAATTTCACTGGCGTAACTGCTAGTTTAGGTAGACAGGATCGCTTACATGCTATACTTCATGGAATGGCCCTTCTGGATGCTTTATAATCTTTCTAGTAACTGATGAGTTGGCTAATGTCATAAGCCAGGAGGAGGTGGATGATATCAGAAGCCTCTATACGTTTGGATTCATTTTTTAATTTGTTGTCTATGGATCGAGATATAGTAGTTGAAGTGCTGTGCTCTGAAATTGCTAGTAGAGGAGTTGAGAGCATTTGTGCCTAGAGATAAATAATGATTGCTTATTAGAAAAGAGCAAAGGAAGACTGATCCTTAGAACAATCTTCTTCATAGCAAAGTGATTTGGGTAGTGGAAGTGGGTGATCACATAGTCATTATATGAAGGATAAGCTAGAATAGATTGATGATCTATCCCATTTTATAGCTGATTATTGCAGTTTGCAACCTGCATCACTTCTCTTTTCAGCCCTTTCTTGTATTTTATGTCTTGCTTCTTCACTTGGTAATCTGTTCCTATTACATCATAATAACAACTACTCTCTTCCTGTTTAACTGACATAGAAAGCATGGTTTACAGTATCACTTGGATTCTTTGACGATATCTATGTGCCAGCTCATCAGCTTCCGCAACCATGCCATCAAATTCCGGATCCTGACCGCAGGTACGGTCACTCTTACTTGCTACCTGAATGTACCCACGGAATTCACCCTTTGTTAATCGCAGATGAACTGAAACATGATTAGGAATGGAACGTGGCCATTCCTTAATGAATTGATTGTTCATGTAATGCCATATTTATAGTGATGCAATCCTTGTTTCTCTCACTGTCCCTGTTACTTCACACAATTTATTCATGGAAGTTGACTAGATCCTCTGTGAGAACTGCAGATATAAAGTCAGATGGATATGGGAATATGACATCGAAGATACAGGAAACCCAGAACAGTATAACATCGACGGCTTGGATGAGGTTTACATTGTCGTTCTCTTACTGCTCCTCCTCACCAGCCCTATTAGGTGGTTCCGAGTTCTGATTATTTTGGTTTTGCGAAATGGTAGGTTAAACTTCAGGTCCTGAATGTGAGCTTCCCACCACTTCCAATTGAGCAGCAAGAGAAGCCTTTTGCTCCCATGCTTGTTACTGTAAGCCAGCCTTCAACGTCGTGTGAACCAGATCTTTCTATATTATACTGATTTTTTTACAATGCATGTCTTGATGTGGGCAACTTATGTCTTGATGCCAGGGATCAATATCTGAATGTGGTTTGGGGCCAGTTTCATGGTGGTGATTAGAAGGGTTCAGAAGTTGAAGAAACAAAGGATTGCTTTGCTTTGAGGGAGGTCAACAGAAAGTGTTAGAGAGTATCATGTTCTTGGGACTTATGATCCAGGGTTGTTTCTGTCTAGGTTGCCTTTGCAGGAAGATTGGATGGCCTAGCCTAATGTCATTAGAATGTGCTAAGTAGAAACTGTGCATAAAAACCGAGAGAATGCTAGTGCTGGCCTGCTGGGCAGAGTTGGATTAGGGTCTGAGCTGAACTGAAATTTTGCATGAATCATTGGTCCATCGCGAAATTTGGTAACTTTCCTAGTGGGCTGCTGAGGTGGCAAAGTAATTTTTAGGTGAATGCAATTTAGTAGCCAAACATTTCATTTGCCGCAAAATAATAATCAAACCTATGGAAATAACAATTTAATAACATTTTTTGGACATTATTACGAAGTTATAGTCACAATCCATTGCAATTAGAGGTGTCAATCCGTCATTGTCTTCATCATTCCATGTCAGCATCTATGTGACTATGTCAAAAGAAAGTTGAATTTATTTTTTGTATTATCAAGTTTTGGGTTTATCAAATTAATTTTTCTTATTTGAATACTGGGGATTCTTTAAAAACAAATGGTATCTGACTCTAATACCCTTTTATATATTTCCTGCTCGAACAAATAGTACTTGCCGTCGGTTGACTGATGAAAGTGAGTTGCTAACCAACTCCTCTGAATGGTCTAACTTGAAAATATAAGCATTACTAGTAACATCAATTGATAAAAAATGATTAGAAACTTTGAATTGGTTGGCTTAATTAATTAGCACGTAGCTAATCGGAAAGAAGGAAAGGGGAACAAATTTAAAAAATAAAGCATATGAGCGGTGGGTGTGACCAAACTCTTCATTACAATGTGGGCTCACGTTTACGTTGAACCTTCATAATGATGTGGTTCAACAAAGTAATTAAAACTTTGCCTTCTGTTTTTTTCCCCTTCTTTCTTTTAGGGTTAGTTGCCGACTAATATGTTGTTTTAACGGGTATTTGTGATATCCTATCGTATGAGTAGTTCGATTGGAAAAATCTCCTAGTTAAAATTAATTTGGAAGTGATCTTTTTACGTTTGAAAAGGCTTGAACTACAGTTTTTCAATAATAATCATGTAAATGTCAAGACTAAAGTTACTATTGATCTTGGTCTTGTTTTTCGTGGGTCAGACGGGCATGTGGTGTTGGCAGCCGACATTCGTCACCAAGGAGTGGTCAACCCCTACCCAGCATAGCTTCTAGCAGCAAGAGACGCTATCACCATCGTCGCATCAAGATCCTTGAATCATGTGATTGTGGAAGGTGATTCCGAGGTGGTCGCAAAGCGTCCTAGAAGATTCCATTTGGTGGTCCAGTGCTCCGGGAGCGTCGTCAGATCCTAGACTCTTTGTCAATTTGTATAAAGTTTATGGCGATTCCTAGAACTACCAACAGTGTTGCTCATAGCTGTGGCGTGTAAAGCACTAATATTATCTCGTCTAGAACTAGAGTCCTCTGACTTTATTGAGTGGGTTTACAAGGATGCTGCTTATAGGGAATTCTTGGATAGTCTTGTAATATTAACTCTTGTTATCTAGAAAAAAAAAAGTTACCATGGTTCGTTTCCAATACATTTTCCTTTTTCCTCGTCTCTTGTTAACATCCTTGACCTAAAACATAAATACACCAAAGCGCATAAAGTTCCACTTTGGCCATTTGGACAATTGACTTGAGATTGGAAAATGACCAATAAATTGTGCCTTGTTTTCTTATACGGCAATGAAGCTTCTTGCAACTTCATCGCATCACGACTGATGGCATGTTCACTATTAAGTCTGCTTATCATTTAGATGTCGAGCTGGATAAGAGGTATGGTTGTTGAAGGTTTATGGCTAGCTGGATAGATAGGGCCTGTTGGATTCGACTATGGGAGGCCAATGTTCCACCTAAATTGAAGGTGTTCGTCTGGCAGATTTTTCATCGTATCCTCCCTACTACCGAAGTCCTAATAGAAAAGAAAGTCTCAGTGCTCCCTCGCTGCCCGGTGTGTTGAGGGGAGTCGGAAACAATGGAACAGTTGTTTCTTGACTGTCCAGTGGCGCGTGCACTTTGGAACTACCCGAGGCTGTAACATCTTGGGCAAGGTTTTCCTCGTCAAACTTTCCCCCTCTTCCTCAAGAGATTGCTCTCCATAATCCAACAACCTTCTGTTTTATTATCGGTGGTTGTTGTCCTTTGGCGGATTTGGAAGTCCAGAAATTGGGCTGTCTTTGAAGGCAAGCAGTTTTGATTCCCTACCTTGATGCGCCACTTTCACCAGCAATGTGAGGAATGAGAACGTTTGCCGGCCGCTTGTGTAACCCCGAGTCTCGCTCCTATTCTACATCCAATAGGTCTGGGCGAGGCTCGTACGGTTGTTTGTATGTGGGATGGGGCTACGCGAGCTGGTTCTCATTCGGCTGGCGGGATGGTTCTTCTTGGCCCTCAGAGGGAGATCCTTATGGCTCAAGGGACTCAGTTTCTGTCTATTGATGATCCGATGGTGGTTGAGTTACTTGCTCTCCGGGAAGCTATCTTCTGGTGTTTGGACCATGGCTTCCTGGACGTGAAATTTGAAGGAGATGCCAAAGCCGTAATCGAGAAGATCAATTGAGCGGATACCAGAGATAGTAGAGTTGGGGTTATTCGTGAAGAAATTGTGCAGTGTTTTGCTACTCACTCTAGGTTTAGTTTACGATTTGTAGGTCGGAATAGTAATAGGGTAGCCCATGCGGTGGCTAGAAAGGCCCTTACTTTGTACCCGTCTACGAGTCGATCTTTTGATTTTCATGCCTAGCTTAATTCCAGGATGTTACTTTCTATATATTTTGAATCAATATATGATTATCTTTTGTGGAAAAAAAAATATGTGGAAAGAAAATACTTCTCCATCTTTTTTATTTGTTGAATTTTTCATACACTCATTTAAGAAGAAAGGCTTGGGCAAAACATATCAATCCGACGATGGTGTTCATTTTCCATCGGTGAGAATCATTTCACAGGCGCTCGAGATTGTTTGTATAGTGTGAGGGCGCTTCATGTTCAATGGAGTGTCAACTATTGGAAAAATTGTTACTACATCCGGTTGTTAGGAGTTCATTGATCCCAATAACTCGAGTTGGGATATATTCAAGTATGAATTATATATCATCTACTAATACACACCCCTCAAATGAAAAGCCCTCATATAGGCTTGAAATTTGCACAGGCCCAGATACCATGTGCTTAACAGAACGCATGATGGTCACTAGGATTCGAACAGAAGGTCATTTTGTCACAGAAAACTCTCATATCATGTAATGAACCAGTTGGTTGCAATAACTCGAGTTATTGAAATTTTTTTGCTAATTGGTCATATACCATTTACTAACACCATCCCAACATTCAAAGACTATGCACCATAACAAAATTGAAAATATATGATTACATGTGTTCTATGTGCCAACCTAACATGATGATTGATGGGCAATGAAGGACCCTTGTGAGTTGTGAGAGGGGGAAGAAAGAGGAAAGAGGCCAAGACAGGCATACACAATACAAAGAAAACTTTAGAATTTGTGCCACTCATGTCGAAATGATGGTTACTTGCATAGTAAGGCTGTATGGTGTAATTCATCGTCAATGATGTGTTTTACAGAGGGAGGGGGCAACATCTGGCTCTTGCCTGCTATAGTGCCATCAAAGCATCTCAATCCATTCATATTTCATCATTAAAAAAACTCTCACTTAAATGGTAGAAACTTGTTTTCCTAAATAGGAAAAACTTAAAAAACTATACGTCAGTGAATTCATCATGTTAGGAGAACCGGTCTAAGAACACTGACGTTTGCCTGATTTGTAGGATGGTTTTCTAAAGGATATTGGATATGAAAAAATTAATCAGAATTGGATACGAGATCCTAAGGCTAATTCCAATAGAGTCTCTATAAATGGGGGAACTTCTATATTTAGGAGAAAGTTGGCTCTAATGAAGCCTCTATAAATGGAGGAGTCTCTATATTTGGGGAGATCTCCAAAAGGATCCCCAAATTTGGGGTGGAAATGGGGGTTCCCCAAATATAGAGACTCCCCAAAGCCCGCCACATGACGTTTCTTTTTCTTTTTAAGATTTTAAGGGTTAATTGGGGTTTAATTAGGGATTAGTTAGGGGGTTTAGTTAGATCAATAATTTTCAGGTGTTGTGTGTAAACCCAAATTAGGTCAATCATTTTTTGTCAACAAAAATTTGCTCTCAAAATTAAAAAAAATTCTACCGGATAATTTATATTTAAAAATGATGACGAACTATACAAAAATTAACATGAACAAATTATATTAAGGCTTCGATAAGTATATTTTTAAGTAAATGGAAAACTTAAAAAATGGAGATCTCCAAATATAGAGGATGTAGCATTGGAGCAAAAGAAGGGAAAATGGGGATGAACCCCAAATTTGGGGGCTTGCATTGGAGTTGGTCTAACAAACAATAAATGGATATTGAGTCAAGTTCTAAATGTCTAATATTGGATGATGAGAACAAACTCGTACCGAGCACTGATAGTCCACATAGCATCCGGATCTAGTTTCAAAGTGCAGACGGTCTCGTTTCAGTTGTTAAAGAAACCCACCATAACTGATAAGCATACGTGACCGTCGCGGTTTCCTCCACCTCACAACACCAATGATAACCCGCGAACCAGCTCATGCAAATCATATTGGACGCCTTAGAGCATGGGTCAAGTGATTTAGAAAATGTGGAATGTGATTTAGAAAATGTGGAAGTGAAATAATGTTGAATAGCATGTTCCATCTCAACCCTAATGGAAAAACTTGCTCAAAATCAAACAACGGTTTTGGTTGTTTATTGATGATGATCACCAACCCTGATGCATTGCATAACCAAAGATATTCGTTTATAAAAAAAAAGTTGGATCCAAAAGAGAAGAGAAAAGCTAAAGCTCTCCGCCCCAACAAATTTACATATAGAAACTAACACAGTCAGTACTTATAAATAAAAAAAGTGATTAGCGATTAATGCAATAGTTAATTATATTAGAAAATAAATACATGGAAATCGGGAAGCAGCAATGCCGTCGGCAAACAGAAGTCCGAAGTCAAACGACGAGCCTCCGACTCCGAGCCAACCAGCCAGGCAGCTACACCGCTCGAGCCTTTCGATATGTTTGTTTCCTTCTTGAACTCATAATTGTGAATTTGTGATTAACAAAAACAAAAAACCCACCACACTAATAAACTAATTAAGAACCTGACACAAACGTTACGGCATCTCCGCCTTCTCTCTAATCTTCTTTGCCTTTCCTCCTCGGTTCCGGTCTCCAAAATGCCGTGTTATAATACTACTACAACACCCACACCTTTCACAATTCCTCCTCATAAGAATCCAACCAGAAAGAAAACAACAAAACACAAAAGCAAGCTCTCTCCACACCAACGTCATTAATTATTAACAACCGAGTAGCCGGAAGGAGCAGAGCAGCGGCCACCGTTTACTACTTGGAAAGGTGTTTGTGGGTTTGGGGTTTTCCTCATTTCCCAAAATTAGCAGCTTTACTTTCTCAATAGACCGCTCAGGGCTTAGAATCGCGCTCACTTTTGGGTTGTGGCCGCCAGCTGATTCGCCCCTCTTTTTCTTTGGTTCTATCTCCTCTGTTTTCTGTTTGGCTTTTTAGTATTTGTCTGCGGAGGAATTTTAGTGGTGTGTGGCTGATCTTTACGAGAAGGGTTACAAGGAGGAAGAATAATGTTTCGATGGGAGTTGGGTTCATGTGACTGCCGTAGTTTTGGATTAATTATATAGAAAGTAGTTGCTTCTTGTCTCGCCTCGTCTGTTGCTGGTGGGAAACAAGCCTGGAGTAGCATTTGCAATGGCGGAATATATCTATTTGCTCAGCAAGGTGACACCTTTTTCCTTTTTTTTTTCTTCTGGGTTTCTGTTCTTTTGTGGTAAAGCGACTGGACTTCAGTTCAAATGCTACTGATTTTTTGCTTGGAGGGAAGATTGGGAAATTTCTTTCCTTTTTTGTGCTGGGCTTCTGGGTTTTGCTCGTTTTGTGTGTTAGAGATTCATGTTTTGAGGGTATGATTTATGGGCGGGTTCACTGAAGATTCATCTCATTGCATGGCTCGATCTGGGTTTCCAAGACCTGGCTGGGGTTTAGCAACTTTCTGCAATTTTGGCTGACTGCATTTCTACGCTTGAGTTGAGCTGGAAACCCACTTCGCTTTTCAGTTTTTCAATCCTCGTACATTGACCCACACCAGTGTTTCTATTTTCTTCTCTTGATTGATGCTGAAAGCTTTGTGCTTTCAAATTTCGGTTCTGTTTGCTGAGCTCAGATTTCACCGACAGATTTGAATTTGAAGCTTTCTGTCACTGACGTAGATTGATTGGTTTCTTCCTTCTCACAGGACGCAGTAATCATTAAACCTCCGAAGAAGTCTTCTATGTTATTGAGGATGGTGGTTCTAATGTTTGCCATGACGTTTGGTGTCTACATCTGCACCATTTGCCGGCAGCAGATTAGCAGCCTTAGCAAAGTAACGATTAAAAATATACAAGTGATTGATGAGCCATCTAATACTGCTGACCATAGTGTCTTTCATGTGCCTAAGCTGCATTACCCAAACCCTGAAAGTTTCAGCAGGTAATAATAAATTGTATATTTGCATTTGATCTTGGTTTGCTTTGGTTTTGTTGATATCAGCTTTCTGCGCATTGTTTTATTTTAATTTTCAGGGAGGAATGTGTGGATAACCCTGTACGTTACTTTGCCATTGTATCGACCCAAAGGTCAGGGAGTGGATGGTTTGAGACCTTGTTGAATAGTCATGTTAACGTGAGCTCGAATGGGGAGATCTTTTCGGTTTTGGATAGGAGAAGAAACGTCTCGGCTATTGTTGAAACTCTGGATAGGGTCTATAATTTGGACTGGTTCTCTAGTGCTTCGAAGAATGAATGCTCTGCTGCTGTTGGATTCAAGTGGATGCTGAATCAGGTAAACTCAAAAAGTGTTGAACATTGAAGTTCAGTTAGGGCCTGTTTACTTTCATTTCTGTTTCCTGTTTTTGAGAAAACAAATGTTGAAAACAGGTGAAAACAACATTTTGTCGTTTCCGAAAACAGCAGGAAGTTGCCACTTTCTGTTTTCATAGTTGGAAACGAATAGAAAACGGAATGAAAAGTAAACAAGTTTTCTCATTTCGGTTACCAAATTTATGACATGAAAACAGAAAACAGGAAACGAAAATGAAAATGAACAGGGCCTTAAATTTTCATGGTTAGGTGCTATAATGTTACTAGTGGTTTCCATCACAATTCAAGTGTGATTCCCTGTCTCTCAAGTCTAGACTGTAGTAAAAGTGAGCCAGTTGCATTCATACTATGTTTGTCAAAATGAGGCAGTTTAGCTTCGTGGAGCAGTTGAAATTCTATAACCGAGTATCTTTGCATAGGACCAAAAAGTGTGACTGCTCAATTTCTGCAATAGAGATCTATAATTGGCCTGTACTGTATGGTACTTCCTGTGTGGTTTTGATGCTCTATTAATCAGGTGATATGAACATATATGGACTGTTTGCACCATGCAGAAGTTTCCTTTTCCAGTCCCATTCTATAATGCTGGTTGCACAACAATGCACTTAGGTCTATTTTCCTGGGGTTTGATTGGAAAGACTATTTAGCTTGTCTCCTATCTGGTATAAAAGGGTACATTCATCGGATGATCTTACTACTTTCATGAATCATTCTATGTGTAGCTTGCCTTAAAAAGACCTCCTTTATTAACTATCACCAGAGAATTGAAAACGGAACCCTTCTGACCAGTTCTGTTTTTGGTCAAGTGAATTTTTAATCCATTGTATGGTTTCAGGAACAGAACTTTCTACATTATGCGCTTGTCTACTGCTTTAGTTAGCTTTTATCCTTGGTTAAACTGGCAAAAAAAAGAAGATGAATATAAAGGATCAAATTGTATCATACTGGTATAATATTGGGTAAGAGAGGGTTTTGTTCCTGCCCAACAATGTGTTTATATCTCACCTTCTTTCTGCAGGGAGTGATGGAGCACCATGAAGAAGTAGTGGAGTACCTCAACCGCAGAGGCGTTTCTCTGATTTTTCTCTTCCGTAGAAACCTACTTCGGCGAATGGTTTCACTGCTTGCAAATTCCTATGACAAGTATGCCAAGTTATTGAATGGAACTCACAAATCTCATGTCCATACCACTGAAGAGGTTCCTCTTCCAGTCCCCCATAAACTCTCTTTCTCCTCTTTTGCATCTGATTTACACAATTTTTATGCTGATGGCCAGCCACTGTTTTGTTGCAGGCTGAAACGCTTTCCCAGTTTAAGCCCATAGTTAACTCCACATTGCTGATATCCGATTTGAGACAGGCAGAGATCTTGGTTGCCAAGGCTCTAGGGTACTACAACACCACTCGGCACATGGTTGTGTACTACGAGGATCTTGTTAAAGACGGCAAGGTTAGTTGAAACATGAAACATTTTCTTGAGAACCATGGATAGCTCCTGGTCAGAACATAGACCTTAACCAATGATAGAAGTTCTTTTAGTGTGAGAACATGACACCAAGTACTCTTAGGATGAGAAAAGAACACGAGTCTTCTCTTAGGCTGAGAAAAGTCGACAGGTTTTCTGTTTTTTTTGCTGAGAGTTGAAAGTATGGATCTTTCTAACACATCGGGTTTGACATCGTTGTATGGCTCTTCATTGGTGCTGCAGAAACTCGAGGAGGTGCAGGAGTTTCTGAGGCTTCCGGTGATGGAACTGAGAAGCCGGCAGGTAAAGATCCACAAGGGGCCATTATCAGAACTGATCAAGAACTGGGAAGATGTGAACAAGACGTTGTATGGAACGGAGTACGAGAATTACCTGAGGGTCGACTATTGAGTCTGCGGAAGGGACCGATTTCGGAATGGTTTGCTTAACTTGCAGGAAGTGTGAATACCAACTACTCAACTGACATGTTGTCCACTCTCTCCTCATATGTGCATTTCATGAGTTGACAGGCTAATGGCTCTTCTCAAAATTTTGACTGGCGTGAGCGAAACTGCGCCATAACTGGTGGTTCTTCTTTTGTTTTGTTAATGGCTTTCTCAACTTTGCGTTGAGATTTGATTCCCATAGCTGAAACCTGTGTTGTTTGATCACCTCTGGTTGATCATGCAGATATCAAAGTTGTACATGTAGCCTACTCGCTTGCAGGAAAAAATTATAATATATGAGCAATTCATTCAGTTTCTAAGTGTGTATCTCCCTGTTTAATCTATATAAAAAAGTTTGTATCTCCCTCTGTTTCAGTATTTGTTTTACTATTTTCATATTTGAAAGCGAAAGTTGTCATATGTTGTTGTGGTAAAAGGAGTTAGCAGCACAACAAATGAAAGTTAGCTACTTATTAAGTAGCTTACTTATTGATTTGATGTTTCTCGTGGAATTTGTTTGTAATAATTTCATTTAAAAGATTCTAATTTCATTCAAAACTCAAAAGAGTCTATAACCAAGACTTGTTAGACTAACTTTCTATTTGTTTTTTCATCTCGATTTTCGCATAACTCATCCCAAAAATCTCATTACCAATAATATTTTCATATAATTTCCACTTAATTTTCTCATAACTCGTCATACCAACACTATTACTCTCATTACTTTCCTAATTTTATCTTAGTCTCAAGATTGATACTAAATGGAACCTAACAAAGTAACTAAACACAAAAAATTGTCTAACTTCCATGATTTTTCTCAGAATTATCAACTAAACCTTTGTTGTCACAACAGTATCGCAACCACCACAAGACCTTTTGGTTTTTGACTTTTGTTCACTTTCAATGGGTTTCCATTGGTATAGTCAAGTTTCAGTATCAGAAAACCAAATATTCAAGACCATCTTCCATTCTTCCTTATCCTTTCAAGTTTCAAGCACTAGGGCAAAGTTCGTTGGCCCTTCCTAAATCATGATTGAATGTCTCTAGAAGTTTGGGTTTTTGATAATACTTATATGACACTACTTTAATTAAGGAACTAAATTATATCTTAAGATAAACGCATGAATCACGCTGCACAGCCTACCAGGAGCGTTAGGACCAACATAAGCTTTTTAATATGATTATGAGGTTGGTCGAGCTTTGACCTTTTAGTATGTGTATCTATGTCCATCAAAAGAGAGATGAAGTTAGTTAGGTATCCCTTTCATTACGAATCTCTAAATAATATAAAGCACTTTCTCGGGAAAAGCTTTCCCGCAAACTTCGGAAGTATTTTTCTTTTCTCATTTTTTTTTTCACCTTCCCAACAAAACCGTTTGTTCCAAGCCCCTCCACGTTAGCCTTCCTCAAACCAGTTGTCCACGTCAGCCCAATATATATAATAAAATCCCCCCACTCTTCTGTACGAAATCAGGAGTCAGGACCCCCTCCCTTTCAGTTTCTGGCTTTCCCCCTCCACTCGAACCTATCAGTTTCCTTCGTCCGCGAATTGTTCTCCATAGACGCGGCGGTTGGCGGCACATGAGCGGAATGCGGAAGGACCGGCTGGCGGTTATGAAGCGACAAAGGAGTAGCCAATGGAGCCTCTCTCATATTCAGCCCGTAATCCGGCAATGGATTACAGAGATATGACGGCTCTCGATGCATCTACACTCTACAGAGGCTGGGGTTTAAGGATCTGCGATTCTGAGAAACATAATTAGAGGATGGAGATACTCTCACCGAAAAGGGTTCCCGGCGAACCCTTTTTTGGTGAAATACTCACCGAAATCAGAGGGTTCAATGTACAAAAGAGAGGTCGCAGCAACTTTGCAGGGCGCCGGTTAATTGATCTACTACGTGGCCATAAGATCCAAAGACTGACTTGGGTACAACGGCGACAACCTGCTGGTGGTGGACGTCGCAGGGCTCAGATCATGAATTGCTATTTTTGAATTTTACGACACAAGGGATTCTGGTACAAAGCTGCAATACACCATCATCCAGTCCTTCTTCATCGAACAACACCGCACGACCGGCGTAGTCGTATATGGAAGGTACTATTCCGACACAGGATCGACATCGTAGACAACGACAATGTCGTTAACAAGACGGTGATTTTCTCTTCCGACATTGGGGTTCTATTGTGAGGCCAAAGGAACATGCCCCGAACGCTCACACTTACAAAAATGAGTGCATCTTCGACGGGATTGGTCATGGTCAAAGTGAACAACGGCTACAACTGCATTGCCGACTGCTAATAACAACTCGATCGTATTACAAGTGATGACGGTGCTACGGTTGTGGGAAGCGGTGTTGTATAAGCGGACTCTCATTCTGTTTATTTTAATGTTGTTTGTTCGTTAACTGTGGCTGGGTTTCATGAATTTGGAGTCAATCTCCGGTTGCCCATCTTTTTCTATGTTGCAGAGGGTTTACCATGTCAAGGGTGTCTTGGTAAAGTTCTTCATGAGGCTATGGTGGTGGAATTGGTAAAGGTATGTGCTTTACTGTGGTACTTTTGGAAAGAGAGAAACAATTTCATCCATAATAATCATCTGTTGCAGCCTGCAGGACTGGGAAGTGTTTATGAAGGCTAATGATCTTATACAGGACTACACGGAAGTGCAAGGAAAAGATAGAAGAGAAGGAAGTAGGCAGAGTCAAATGGATAGATGGAAGAAACCACCATTTGGGTGCTCTCAAGTTGAACACAGATGCAGGGCGTAATTCAAGAGGTGAAACTGGTATAGGCTATATCTTCATAGATTGGAATGGTAAGGCTGTACAGGTAGCATAAAAAAAACAGATGTGAAATGGCCTGTAGACATAGCAAAGGGGAGAGCCGTCCGTTTTGGCTTTGAGCTTACTTGCCAATATGGGCTTCAGCAGTTAATGGTGGAAGTTGTTTGCAAGAAAATCATAGATATGCTCAAGAAAAGAGAAGATGCTAGAACAGAGATTTGGAAGTGTGTGGGGACTGGGGACATTTTGAGACTAAGTGAGCAGTTGGATGTGAGAGAGTGGAGATTTTCCTATAGACAAGCAAATATTATTGACCATCTTTTACAGGTCGCTAAAACAGATTATTTGGTAGCTTCGTCCAACCTCTAAGCGTAGAATACAACCATGTTTATTTTTCTTTCTCTATTACCCCTTATCACCATCATATAGTGCAACTCTTCTCTAAAAGTTTATAAGGTTTTTGTTTTTCCAGTTTAGATCTATGACTTGCAAATTTATTGATCACGACTTAACTTGCCACAACGTTTCATATATTTTAAAAAGTTGTTGTAATGTTGTGTTTGAACTAAACATTAGTCCAAACATAATAATTCGTATTATCATATATAATATATGCACAAAAAAAAAAGTATCTTAAATAAAACTAACTAATTAATCAAATAAAAACTCACCCGGCCAAGGGCCGGGGACAAAGCTAGTTTAATATGAAGGAACCCTTCAATTTGAATTAGTAAGTTTAATTTGAATATAGTTTTAGGGGGAAACACTAAACAGTCTGATTTCCAACCAAACCAAGGATGCTAACTTATTAAGAAATCTGTTGTTAGTTGGACTAGTTGGCCTTGCAATATCCAACAAGAAACTTATCCTCCTCACCCAAGAAATCAACGATGATCAATACGTGGATCGGTATCGAAAATTTACTCGAAGAGGGGTTTTTCAACATGGTGGCATGACAGGTGTGATGGTGAATCGAAATTTAATTTGGGTTTTTGTCTTGTCTCCTTATGTTTTACTTGAGAGTTAAGTATCATGTTTTTATCAAATTTGATGAGAGTTAGATCCCAAAATGTTGGAGTTAACCAAATTTGCAAAGAACTTAAATTCCATGTACTTCAAATGGTGTCTCCTTGAGGCCAAACATTGAGGCAAAATGCAATTTTTAAAAAATTTAGGCTTAAATAGTGATTTCTTTGCAAACCGTGTATAATAAAACAACCTTGTGAGCATAACAGGGCATGAGACAAATTTATGCCATAAGCACCAATTTGGGCTGATTTTTTCCGGATCCATTTCAGGCAGATTCCAAAGGGTACCATCACATATTTAGGGAGATTTTTTTTGAAATGTCATTTTCTTTCGATTTTGGAGACTACAGATTACGGATTCAGCCCGATGCCATTCTCCACCGATAATGAAGTCTATTGATCTTATTCTCCATCGATGATTAAGTCTGTTAAGCACCGACTTGGGCGAATTTATTTTGGATAACATTTTCGTAATTTTTTGGGCGATTTTTTTTTCGAAAGACTGTTTTCATTTAATTTTGAAGGCTACAGATCACGAATTCGGCCTGAGGCTATTCTTCCACGAGGATTAAGTCCATTAAGCACCGATTTGGGCGGATTTCTTTCGGGTCCGTTTTTGGCAGATTCTAAAGGGGTACCATCACAGATTTCAGACCATTTTTCCGAAATGTCATTTTCTTCCATTTTGGAGACTAAAAATTACGGATTCAGCACAAGGCCATTCTCTACCGATAATGACGTCTATTGATCTATTCTCCACCTATGATTAAGTTCATTAAGCACGGATTTGGATGAATTTATTTTTGTATGGCATTTTTGTGCAAAATTTTTTCCAAATGCCATTTTCTTTGAATTTTGAAGTCTACAGATCACGAATTTGGTCTGAGGCTATTCTTCAACGAGAATTAAGTCCATTAATCACCGATTTGGACAAATTTCTTCCAGGTCCATTTTTGTGAGATTCCAAATGGGTACCATCACTAAGGGTGGTAATCGATTTTCCGATTATCGGTATACGGCAAAAGAATTTTGGGGGTCGGTATTACCGGAATATACCCGGTTAATAACCGGTGGTTAGCAGGTTATACCGCATTTAGCGATAATCTCTACACTCCCCAATTCACTCCCCAATCCCCATCTTCTTCCCCAACTGCGATCCTTCATACTTCTCACTCCTCTCCATCTTTCTTCCTCCCCAACCCCCAGACTCATCCATGTAATCCCTCATCACTCTCAAGCATTCCATTTTTTCCCTCTTCTTGTTCAACTCCACCGTTAATAAAACAAGCATCTTTCATTTAATCTTAGAGGATACAGATCACGGATTCATCCCGGGGTTATTCTCCACCGATAATAAAACCTATGGATCCTAATCTTAACCTATAATTAAGTCCATTAAGCACCAATTTGGGTGAATTTATTTTCGGATGACATTTTCGTCATTTTTTGGGCAAAATTTTTTTGAAAGACCATTTTCCATGTATTTTGAAGGCCACAAATCACAGATTCGGCCCGAGACTATTCTTCAACGATGATTATACTC